GGGGCTCCCCGGTTTCACCAGTCTGGTCCGGATGCGTTTCCCCGGCTAGAGTAGTGACCGTGCTGTCTCCCTCACTGCTCTCCTCTGGCTCACCCGACGTCGGCGCATCATCTCCCGGCTCGGGCTCTACGATGACCTCGGTCACATCTTCCATGTATTTCCTGCCTCCTTGGTCGGTAAACACACTCACTCGCATCAATAAAGCTTTTTCCATGGCTCCAGAATTAAGGCGCTCCACAATGTCTGGGTATTGTTAGCATATAAAATAACAGCAGAGTAGAGTTTATTTCAGAGCAACGTCCTGCCTTTGTTTATCTCCGAGCGTAGTAGGCATGCTCCAACGCCTTGACGTCACACTCTGCCTTCTTCTGGTACGTGGACGTGGCAGCACCGGTGCAGCTGCTGCCCTCCAGAGGCTGGGCTCACTGCTGTGTGGGACTGTGTGTACAATTCAGCACATGACGTTCAGCCATGAGTCTTGAACACGCTGATCTTTTTCAGTGTTTGAGTCCTGTATTCCAGCATGGTTTTTAAAAGATGTTTTAGCCCTGCACTTTTGCACTTTAAGAGTTGTTATCAATGACTATAAGAGCAACATGCTGACTTTTGGCTCTCATTTGATGCTGGTCACATCAATATTAGGTAAACAATGTAGGAATGTTTAAGGAAAAGTGGTTGATTTGGGGTATTGCATTTGCATCTGGAGTCCCCTCAACAATGCCAGTGCAGCAAAGCCATGCTGAGCCTGAGGATTAGAGAATATATTTTGGACATAGTCAAAGTGTTAGATGTCTTGAAAATTCACAATTTGATACCATGAAGAGCAAGAATCAACCGATGTGTTTAAGGGGCATTTCCAAAACTAAATATTAGTATTAAAGGGACAGATTGCAGATATTTGGAACTGATAAACATTTGCAAAAAAATGAAAATCTTGGGGTCAAAATGTTGAAAAGTCGAGCACGAAACTATGATAAAATGCTTTTATGTATGTTTTATATGTTTAATTAAAAGGGAACTTTTGAATGTTCATCCTTTAGTGTTTACAGACTGTTATTTCTCATGATATGTAGCCATTCAGACAGTGCTCTGGACATGACATTGCTCAAAACCACTGAGTGGCAATAGATGGAAGTTGCATCAGAACTAAGGTAGTGCATTTTTAAAATGTATTTATTTTATCGGGAATTGGTTAAAAAAATGCAATAAAAATTAATAGCTTACCCAATAATCAACCAGGCAATAATCACTTGTTTCCTGCTTAAGAAGACAGAATTACTTTATGAGATTTTCACAGCAGGCTATGTGTCATTAGAGGACCAGATTAGAGAAGAACAGACGAATGGTGAAGAAAAGGTGTCAAGAAAAATGCAAAACGTTGTTGATGATACAACAGCTTCGGTCAACACAATATGCAAACACTTGACAAGCATCAAGAATGGAAAAGGTCAGGTCACAGTTTGCAAAGACAACACAGTGACACTGTGTTCATTAGTGATGTCACTGACATAATGAAGTGGCAGAGGTACACATCTAGAAATACCAATAAACAATGTTTAGTAAAACGTAGATTTTACAATTAAACTGAGTCTGCAGTTTAGTCTTTGTATATGAAGCTAATATATAAATTCTGAAAAGATGTAAGGATGACATTAGCTTATATTTAAGAACCACATACAAAGGACAGCAATGTATTGAAAAGTTAGGATCCATCCATCCATTATCTATACACCGCTTAATCCTCACTAGGGTCACGGGGAGCTGGCGCCTATCCTATAGCTGACTCAGGGTGAAGGCAGGGGACACCCTGGACAGGTCACCAGTCTATCACAGGGCCACACATAGAGACAGACAACCAAGCACACTCACATTCACACCTACGGACAATTTAGAGTCACCAATTAACCTCAACATGTTTTTGGACTGTGTGGGAGGAAGCCTGAGAACCCACACTTCACGGGGAGAATGCAAACTCTACGCCGGGTGTCCTCACCGGGACGTGAATCAACGACCTCCTTGCTGCGAAGCAATGGTGCTAACCACCTGCGCCACCTTGCAGCCCAAAAGTTAGGATTTAAAAAAGTATTGCAATTTTTTTTGCATAATTAGATTTTCTTGAATATTTTTCTCTGGATTAAAAGGACACATCTTAATATTATGTCAGTGCATATATGAATGATGTAATTTTTTATGAAATCTGTTACTTTTAGGCAGCAAACCTAAGACAATGAGTAGGCTTTTTTTTAATGAAGTGGTTAAAATAAAGTGGGGTAAAAATTCTTAGAGCACATAAAATATTCAATATTTTGATGAAAACTTGAAAAAAAAATCAGAAAGTTTGTGGGTTTAGAACAGTTTAAACACTAAAGAAGTTCTGACATGTAAAATGAAGAGGAAATATTTTAGTTTCAGCATGTCAGCAGTCAAACTGAAGCAGATCAGTGGCAGTGACCACATTAACTTCTTTGTACAAACGTCAGGTTTCCTTGAACTGCATCCTTCCTTTGAAGCAAGATGACACATTTGATTGACTCAGTTTCAATTTTTTCTAAGGTGATATTGTAAGCCACTCGAAAACACTTTATAGAAACTGTACCAGTTGTATCCAAAGCAAGATCAAGCAGAATGAAACTGAGCACACCACTAGAAGATTATTCTTTCAGTACAATAGCTTTTACAAAGAGATGGAAAAGCAGCTTGGTCACAGATGCAGAGCACAAGACTCCAATCAGCAAAAGTCCTGTCAAAGGAAGGCTTTCTAGTGCCTCAGAGGATGAGGAGCCACTTCTCAGGAGGAGAAACAAGACCAAACACTTGGGGGGAGCTCAGACAGAGCACCATTTCACAGTGGATGATGGAAAAAGACCAATTTACTACTGAATCCTAGTTAGAGATTAGTAGCAGTAGTGTAAGGGTGACAGTAAGGAGAGCTACAGGACAGAGAAGGACACCGCAGTGGATCAAACCCACAGTGAAACATGCTGCTTGGAAGATTTAAGTCTAGGGGGAGTTTTGACACCTTCAATGAATCAACTCCACCCTGACCAAGAAAAAGCAGCACTCCATTCATCAGAGACATACTCCCCTCTCTGGTTTGCATCGTTGTTGAGAAGGATTCATATTGCAGCAGAACAATGAGCCAAAAATACCCCAGAGCTTTGACTTGTAGACCAAAGAAGACCAAGGAGCACTGACTGTCATGGACTTTCCTCCACAATCACATGACCTCAACCCCACTGAACTTTTATGTAGCTCTTGAGGATGGGGAAAGTCAAACATTCCCGACATAACAAGGAGCTCTTTGGAACATTGTCACATTATGCTTACATAACATGGGTTATGAGGTTTTACGCACACTTGAAAAGTCATTAATGCAAAGGACGGCAGAACAAGTTAATGTACTTCTATTCGTGGGCTTATTTCAGAGATTCAGCTTTTAGTTTTGTTTGTCATCATAATATCATTTGAAATGAAACATTTTGCAAAGTAGAGGTATGTTCAGCAGTAGTGTCAGACTGCAGATGTAATACACTTTCACATCATCACTATAGTGATTTTAGTTCAGCTACCTAATATTAAATTATTTCAGTATCATCTCTTCTGACTTAAATGTAAAGTGTGAGTATGTACACTGTGACACACGTTGTCCTTTGTGATGTAATAATTCATTGACATCTGATAAGTGTTATAGGATTTTAAAACTATTTGACACATAAACTCCCTACTGCAGAAACCAGAAAACTGGATGGTTTCATATTCAGAAGATTAAATAAATTCATGTTTAACTACAAAAGTTATGTGTCGTAATATGTATAGTCGTCTTTTCCTTGTAAGTAAATGTTTTTTGTTGTGTTTTCTTGTTTTTTTGTTTAGTTTTGTTTCTGTCTGTAAAATTAGGGTACACTCAGAAAAATAAAGGTGCCACTCGGAACTAATAAAGGGTCTTAACAGTGATGCCACAGAAGTTTCTAGTTTTAAAGACCATTTTTGTAAACCGTTCTTTAAAGAATCCCTCAAGATGCCTCAAAGAACCACAAAAAATGTTCTTTGAGGCACCAGAAAGCTCTTTCACAAAAAATGGTTCTTTAACGGGCCATTTTCAAAATAGTTTTTTGTGACCCAGCTGAAAACAAAAAGCTCTTTCAAATGCTTCTTTGGTAATCTTTTTAAAGGAAATGGTTCTTCAAGCATTTTAAATGCAATTATTAAGTATTAGTGGGAAAACAAGCTTGTGAACATAGTTATTGCCCATTTATTAATGTTCCTGTTGTACACCATCTAATTATAGACAAGTCAGGTGTTTAAAATTTGAACTTCAGAGAAGCACTAAGTCCCATTGACTTATTGGCCAAGCACAAAAACTAAATCAGAGCCCGGCAACCTGACATTTCCTTGTGAATCCAAACTTAAAGTCATGAAACATTGCATTTGACTGCTGTAGACACATTGATTTCCATAACTTTTGTGTATGAATTGTAAATGTCAGAACTTGTAGTATTTCTGAGTCTTCCCCTATTTAATATTTTGCATTCTGAACTGTTGGTCAGACAGAAACACATTTTACAAGATGCCTGCTGGAGATTTGAGAAATCGTGAAGGGCATTTTTCACCGTTTTCTGATTATTCATTTACTTGAGAAAAAAAATTCAGCAGCTGTAATTGCATGCAATTAGCTACCATCTGTTGCTCTGATAAAAAATAAAAACCATTAGTACTTTAAGGAACTTCATTAAGTATGTGAAGAGCCATTCCCTCAATAGGGCTTCTTTCACTGGTGGCAGTATGAAGACGTACAGAGCCCCTTGAAGAGCCACTGTTTTTCCGAGAACAGTTGAATATTTCACCTGACTAGGCTTGGGTGGATGTGCATAAACACTGCATTGATATGGTAAAATCTGCGCATCAGATCTTAGTTTTGTCTCCGTGCATAACATGCTGTTTTGCATCGCCTGCACCATGACGTCAGTGCGTCACCGCCTGTGAGTGTGCGTCGGGACGGGGGCACGGAACTGCTGTAGGGTCGACGGATGATCGTAGATGAAGGAGAAAGATGGAAATTAAACAGCGGTTTTTAGAGTCGCGCCGCTGACCTGTCGATTGTACGAGTATTCGGGGGCTCACTGCAGAGCGAATGTTATATGAGGACTCCTGGAGGACGTGCTTTAATCGCGGTAAGGTAGCGAATGTAGGGAGAGTTGGGGAGGGCTGTAGCTGCTGGGGTTTTTTTGGAGAGGGAAAACAACATGGCTGCGGTGGAGCTCGAATGGATCCCAGAAACACTGTACAACACCGCTATCTCGGCGGTGGTGGACAACTACAGCCGGTCAAGAAGGGACATACGCTCGCTCCCAGAAAATATACAGTTCGATGTCTATTATAAGGTAAGCTTTACCAGCCAAGAGGCTCCGGTGTATCAGACAGCCACCATCCTGTGCGAGTTTCTCTAATCAGCTGCTAACATTGCTGCTAACGTTAGCAAAATATCGATAACGTTACGTCCGCTCCTGGAGACCAAATCTAGCTTTTTAAGGGGTCTAAATGAACTAACTAACCGCTTACCCTACCTTCCAATTACATAACATTAAACATAGTTTGTGTGTATCTGTATAATAAACGTTTGTTCAATAAGAAGCCATACGCGACATTGACCCTGTAGCTTATTGCATCAGTAACCGTGTAAATGAATTGTTTCAGTGATGTCGTGTTAATAAAGTGTTTCTGTGGGCCGGTTGTTGGATAGATCCACTGCGACCCACTTTCTTTAAAGCAACGCTTTGTTTTATATGAGCAAACATAGGATACAACTGATCTCTGCTATATCACTGTCAATTAGCCACAGACAGCCAACACACAACAGCTCTATTGAAAAACTATGACTTTGAAAACAGTTACTTTTTGTTCCCGTGACTCTGAGTTATCTAAATGTAAGTGAAATGAGACGGTAACTACACCTGTCTGTAAAAGGTCAGGTACAGTAGAACCTTACAGGGGCTCTGCACAGACAGGGACAATGCTTTATATGTGATGTGTGTTGGCATACACTGTGTTTTATTGGAGGTAGTTAAATGTCATAGATTGAAACTAGGACCTGTTCAGTGCTCCACCAACCAACCACCAGTGCCATACTATTTAATAAGGAAAATAACCTCATCCTGAGCAACTTTGTGTCTCTGAGTATAAAAGGAGTGTAAAAAACCCTTCCTTTCCATTGAGTCAGTAGGCTGTGGTAAGCTTGTTGACATAAAGTTATGTCAATAGGAAGTAGTTTATCTTTACTATTGCAGTTTTGTTGATTAGAATTAGAGTAATCTGTATTTTTTTTTATTATTGTTACACTACCATCGCCAAAGATCACCAACAGATGATCTGATCTCCTTCAGTCTCACACCACAGCTGTTCTCAGAAACCTGTATTTTGGGTCAAAAATTGCAAATGAGAACAACTGTTTTGTAAATGAATCTGGGTTAAGGCAGAGTGACTGGGTAAAAGAGAGTAGGGGAGCTGGGCGGGGTGCTTGAAATGAAACCATCTCCCTCCCTCCTTCCCTTGGCTTGTGTGTTCCCTTTCTGGCTTACTAGAACATACACGTAGAAATATCACGACTAACAGTCGATACACTGACAAGAAAGAAACATCAACATTCATGTCCTTGATAGTTTGTATTTGGCTGAGCTTACTGTATATATGGTTCACTGTTGGACAGATTTTGAGAACCTGCAACAAAACATCTTTTAAGAACTGGTGGAGTGTGTAATAGTACAGTATACCTACTATATATTATGGTGACAGCAGCAAAAAAAGCATAATAAAGAGCTTTTCCAACTGCTGATTGAAACAAATGTTGCACCTGTCAACCAGCAGGTTATAATCTACTGTAAGCAAACAGAAAGATTAAACTTGCCTCCAGAGTACTAAAATGACCTATTTCTAAGGAATAAAACCCTGAGGACATGAACTGTGTGTCAGCAGTGTTAGGTATGGATCGATTGTTTCTGGCTATTGACTGAATATAAATCAGATATCAATATCTTGGTCTTCTGGAACCGGACGTTTTGACTTAGAACTCTAAAACAATGTACATAGCCATATGGTAGCAACCTGTAAATCGCAAGGTAACCACGCCATAAAGCATACCCTGTTGGGACCTCAATTTACAAAATTAACACAAACGGTAACTTCCAGGACTAAACAAAATGAAGTGAAGTACCAGCAATAGCAGTTCCTTGAATGTTCATTGAAAGCTAGCTACAAAAAAAGCCAATCCCATAGACGGCATTGTTCAAATGTCTAACTTTGCAGCAGAAATAAACATGTTTGCAGCCTGGTACAAAAAACAATGATTTTGGTCTTTGTAGATAATTTTACAGTTCATGAGAACTGCATAGGAGCTGATTTTTTTAAATATTACTTTTCTGTTTAAATTACATCAAGGCTTAGAGTCATGTACAACTCAGGGTATTGCTTGTTTGAGTGACAGATAGGTGCTGTCATAGGACAGTTCATGGCCCAGAGACCTTTGAATGGACCACTTCAGCTCCACTCACATCCAACTCTTTGCTCATTTTTGACATAGCTGGTAGTTAGAAAGAGTCAGGCACTGCCAGAATGGTGATGGCTGGAGCCACCACATCGAGCTTTAAAACTGCTGTTCAGGAAACTTTTGGATGATGGCACAGAGTGTTTGTCTATGTTTGTATACAGTCAGTGAAAGACCACCATGTTGTATTGAAGGAGACTTGAAACTGGTATTTGAAAGCATTAGAAAAATGTTACTGAGGTAACAGATGAAGTAAGAAGTAGGATACATTTCTCATATACAATCTGACTTCTGTTTGTAGTCAGAGGAGTCGGCTCCTGCTGACCAGTAGAAAGAATGCAGACTTGCGTCACTACTGCTCTGGCCTCACTCTTCAAACCAGGGGGCTATCTCCATCTTTTATATACAGCCTATCCTCCTAACATGATGAAGAAAGCCACTTAAGCAAGTTTGTACAAAGTTTTTAGTAATGAGATCAACAATGTCACATTCCAAGGACTGAATGTACCAGCTACTACGAAACCTCTGTTTTCACGTATTCATGTGTGATTTGCAATACAAGTGGTGGTGAAAACATTTTGCTGGGACATTGTTTGAGCAAGATTGGATGGCCTGTAGCAAAGTGGTGGAGCTCTTATAGAGCTCCAACCCTGGATAATTTGCAGCTGCTGATACTGTTTAATATAAGCAGGCGTCTTGGAGCAAGAATATCTGTCATATTGTGCTGCTAGGTAGGGTTAGTTATACTGAATATCAATAAAATGTGTGTTTAACTTACATTTGTCCTGTGAGACCGCTGCCACAAGTTAATCTCTGGTCATCATTGTTTACAAAGAATTGAAGGTGCAACTGTAACAAAAGTGACAAAAAAAGGAGCAATAAATCACAATACGTTTTACATTTCTGAGGAAACTAAAAAGTTTACTAATCAGTAATTATACCAAAAGAAAAACCACCAAAAAATAGCAGAAGCAACTGGTGCACCCGCCCAGTTATGCTCATCATTGCTAAGTTGAATGCAACAGCTGATGACACCATGTGTCCCGAAAGTAGTACATGTCTTTCTGTAGCCCTCCAGCAGTAGAGTTAACAGTGTCAAGGGCTGTAATGAGTTATCAAACTAGACAGTACAAGACTGGTTTATGAACAAAGACTTGCACAGGTAATGACATTCAACACAAAGTACTGGACACATTAAAATGTCAACCTGCTGTTGACGTTACTTGAAAAAAAATCAGAGGATCACCAAAGTTACTACAAATCATTCTAAGGGGAACATGAATGTCTGTAAATTTCATTGTTGCACTTGCACTCAGTGTGCCATTATTTATCTGCTTCACTTATAATCTTACATCACTGACACACTGGGTGAGATTTCACCCAGTAACTGCAGGTCAAGAGCCACGGCTGTGACTGGTAGTGTTTCCCGTGAACGCTACCACGCAGAGCCATGGCATATAACAACTTCCAGCTCAGCACATTTTGATGACAGGCCAGACATCAGCAAATTTTTTTTTTGTTTAAACTCCTGAACAGCAGACAGCATTGTCTAAAGCATCACTTAAAACACACCCAAAATAGCACAGAAACTCCACTGTTGTAGTTACAGACCAGTAGGTGTTTTTTGTGTGTGTGTTTTTTCACTCAATAGTCTGCTGCTCAGACATGCCTTCCATACCTACATACTAAATAAGTTATTATCTAGACACATTGTGCTCCTAATGGAAGAGCTGACCTCTGTATTATTGTCAGTCTTATCTACTCCATCTTTGTATATGTGTGTGTGTGTTCAGCTTTACCAGCAGGGCCGGCTCTGCCAGCTGGGGGGAGAGTTCTGCGAGCTGGAGGTGTTTGCTAAAGTGCTGCGGGCTTCGGACAAAAGGTAAGGCCATAAAGAGAAAAGGCTTTGTTTTTAATCTCACACCATCTACATTAACCCATCAGTTGTTTTAGACGATGATCCCTGAGCCTGTGATCACTTAAATAGGTGGTTGTCAGAGCAGTTTATGTTATATGTGCTGAAAACAGTATTCATTGAATAGTGGGACGGCGCTTATCACATCCAATATTCAGCATTGATTTTTATTATTGGTGTCATCATTGTGTGTTTTTAACTGGTTACAGATCAGATAAATTAAGTTAAAATGTGCAACTTTGGCACACATTCTATTTGTAGTTGGCACTCTGTGATCCCACCACAGCACTATCTGATTAGTTACACGTCACAAGTTATAGATTGTCAACACTGCAAATGTTGAAAAGTGCTCTTCAAATGACACATGTGTAAATATTAATTGGTCTCCTTGATTACCCACAATCAGTGTTTGTATTGACCCTGAAATAATCATATTGTTTGGCTCCTACAGTATATTAATGACTTTTAAAAAAGGCAGATAGGGTTTTGTGATAGACAATGAATGTAACTTCATATAAAATAGCTAATGGAAAATCCCTTACCACAATAATGCACCCTTTAAGGCAGGGGTGCCCAATCCTGGTCCTCGAGAGCCCCTATCCAGCATGTTTTAGATGTTTCTCTCTTCCAACACACCTGATTCACATGATCAGGATCATCATCAAGCTCTGCAGAAGCCTGATAATGATCCTGATCATGTGAATCAGGTGTGTTGGAAGAGGGAAGCATCTAAAACATGCTGGATAGGGGCTCTCGAGGACCAGGATTGGGCACCCCTGCTTTAAGGGTTTAGGTATATTATTGATGTTTTGATGGGCTTAGTGTGAAAAGCCTGCCATTGCACGTAGATCAGTTGTTGTCATTTGCATTGTTATTCAGTGATTGGTCAGACGTTCTGCTTGTTTACACGACTGACATGCTCTCTTCCTTTGTCCTCCTCATTGCAGACATCTCCTGCACCACTGTTTCCAGGCCCTAATGGACCACGGTGTAAAAGTAGCCTCAGTTCTGGCAAACTCCTTCAGCCGTCGCTGCTCCTACATCGCAGAGTCTGACGCCCACGTCAAAGAGAAGGCTATTCAGTTCGGCTTTGTGCTGGGTAAATAACGGGGCAGGGAAGGGAACGTGTTCAAACGTCACTCTGAGACAGTCTGTGAGATGCAGGTCAAGGTTCTCGCTCATATTTTGGAGTTACTAAAGTAACCTCACATTTATTTTTGATGAATATAAAGTATATTTAATGATTTTTTAAATAGAATGTATTTTTATTCTATTTTGAAAAACTTAATCATCCTCAGCATGGAGGATACCAGGGTTGCACAAATTTCAGAAGAGATGCTTTGCTATTCTCATTTTGCTGCTGATCTTTGCTGAACCGGTTTGCCTTTGTCTTTAAAATTCCCCAAAGGTGTTCTGTTGGATTAAGTCAGTGACATACCTGGCCAAGTCATACTTTTCACTTCTTTAGAAACTCTTGTGTGATTTTGGCAATGTGCTTTGGATCATTATCATGTTGGAATATTGATCTACTGCCAAGCTACTGCAGACTAGGAGTCATCATGTAAGCTGGGATTTTGGTCTAACCGACAACATTCATGGTTCCATCTATGAATGTCATCCCACAGCATATTTTGTACTCATGTGGCTCATCACACTCCCACCTCTGTTCCTTACTGTCGGAGCTGTGCGTTTACTGTGGTCGTCCTGGCCAGAGTCACACCAAACATGTTAGACTCAGTCTGAGCTGAGCAGCGTTATGTTGCTCACATAGGACTAAAGAATGTGCTCCCAGTGTTGATCAGAAGTTTCATTTCACAGTTTATTCCCAAAGAGCAAGCGTTTTTCCTGGGATGCCGTCCTTTAATGTTCACGTTATGCAATATGTTATGTATGCAATTTTTTTCTTGCTGTCTAAGCTGCCACAGAAACTCTGATTTCCTTTAATAACCCAAGTTTTAAACACTGTGCAAGGAGCACCTAAGGATGGCCCCTGATTAGTGTTACTGTAGCAGCCACAAATGTTGTTTTTTGAGTATTGATCACTGGGTTAATAGTTTGTTTATTTGGTTGTCATGGTGATGTGGAACATGGGTCACGTGGGTGTAGTTGGTGACAGATTGAGCTGTCAAAAGGGCTGACAGTCAGTCATGTGGTCGCTTTGCCAGAGAGAGGAGGGCTGGGTAGCCGTAATTTTTGTTGACCGCCACGCTTGATTGACTTATGCTAAAGTGTCTTTATTTTTTTGACAAGTTTACCGTACTGCCTGCGAATCACCATTCACTTTTAATAAAAGGAGAGAAACATATCGAACTTTTGCACATTATTTAGGAAGCGACAGCGCGTCATACAATTAGACAGAACCCATCCTCGGCCTCTCAGTAACTGTAGCGACTTCCACAGTCGCTACAGTTACTGTGACTTATGTACTCGGAATACTGCTGCAAATGTGTTTAGACTGATTTTTAGCTGATTACTCATCTTCCTGTAATATTTTCCATCTTTGTGAAATGTCACAATCAGATTTTTCAGTTCGTTTCCACGTAGAGCCACGATGCAGACATGCTGATAGATGCAGCCCGTAGGTTAAAAACTGAAACAGGTCTTGAGTTCACACCTTATTTTACACCATGTTCATGCACTTAGAATAGTTGAAAACTATGAGTGCACTAAATTTAGTTCCAGTGGTAAATGTGTGGTAGTGATCACAGGTCTTTGCAAAGTATTTGTTTTTTAATTATTCATAGCAGGAAATCCTTCGCTGATCAACAGAAATAATACAATTATTGAGAGGTGAGGAATCCTGGAACCATTTGACACCATTTGGAACCACTGTGATTTTCCACACAGGTGTAATAACTTCTGCTGGATACTGTATTAAAAAGCACTCAATCCTTCTAGCTTTAACAGTTAATATATTCATTTCAATATTCATTTGTCGAGTGAAGCTGGTGCTAATAGTTTGTGGTTGGTGTTTGTGTTTGTTTCAGTCACCAACAAAACTAGCCTGTTACCTGTCATAAAGTCTAACTTAGCACAAGTTATGGTAACAAAGAATGCTCTCAACTGTATTTGAAAAATCATTTTGTTTTATGTACACACATAAACCAGCAGTTTCTATCAGTAAAAGAGGTAGCAGGTAGAAGAGGCCTAACTTTCTTTAGGTACCAAGCCTTGTTAGATTTTAGTTCAATTGAGGTTTCTTTATATAATGTTGACTAGACTCGCTGACTAACGTTATTCACTTCTTGAAAATCAATGTGGCTAAGGCTGTCTAATATTTTTACCTGTAGGTGGCTTCTTGTCTGATGCGGGCTGGTATGGAGATGCAGAAAAAGTGTTCCTGTCGTGCCTACAGCTGTGCACACTCCACAGTGAGGTCCTCCACTGCTACCGGGCTGTGGAATGCTGTGTCAGGTCAGTCTGAAAATCTCTGTGGTTACATTGACCAAAAAGACCCTTTGTGTAGAATGTATAAGTTAGGCCATTGCTAAGAGTTTGGCTGTGCCTCTTGGCCTTTGGCAAATGCTATCCTGAGGACCCGTAACATCTTTCTAAAGTAAGACTAACTTTAACAGTCTGCTCTAACTGACAGACACGTCTCTCTAGCAGACGGCACAATGTGGGTACTTTCACAGGTGCTTAGGCTGTGCTAACAGTTAAGTTAGGAGGCAGCTACAGAATAGTAGTGAAAAACAATAACAAATACTGCTTTAAGATCTTAGTGGACAATAATAGTGAACAAAACAGGGGAGAACAGTAGGTGTAATTGCAGGAGAAGAGGAGACAAACTGTTCAGTCTATGAGTTGATTTCATAGAAAACAGAAGAGAGCATCCTAGCGTCCCGTGATGCTCTGACATCTTGATTCCTATTTCTATTATACATAATCAGCTATAATAATCCTACTTTGAATGACAATTTCCCTGCTAACACGTGCTGTTAATATATAACCTCTAAGGTATATCAGTTCCAAATATCGGTCATTAAACTTTCTTGATTACCGATATTTAGTATTGGCACCAGCCCTGAAAAAAACACATCAGTCGATCCCTTATCTGAATGTGTCAGCACGCTATTCACGTTTCCTTAAAAGCAGCAATAGCAATGTTAAGTTGCTACTAGTAACATTTCTGTATCACTTCCAAGACAGTACAAGTCTGATCTGCATGTAGTTACATTAACAGATTGGCACACGCAAGACTATAAGAACCTTTCCAATGCAGGAACTCAGCGCAGGTATGAAGTTGCTTTAAAGGTTTACTGAATTTTACATTGTTGATAGCAGTGTTTACAAGGAGAAGAATGCTACTCGAAGAGGATTTTGAGAGGGCAGAAGAAATGGCACCTGTCTTGTCTGAATTCAGCTGGTGTACGCTCAGCAGTATTTTAGGGCCACCCAGAGGTACCTAGCACCAAGAGGGTCTTTCCTCTCTCCTGCAAACAGGTGGTTTGAATGTGCACCAAGGTGTGTACTGCCCCAAAATAGCCTGTGAGTTCTCGCGGTGGAAAACACCCTCATGCCATTGAAATGTAGACTGTTGTTATGGATGTGGTGTTTTAAAAGCAGCGACCTAATCCAAGCAGAAGCTTGATGTTTTGTCCAGTCTTGTGAATGCCATCCTTTTTTTCACGGCCCTCAGTAACATAAGATAGCCCTTTATTAACCCCACAGTGGGGAAATCTGCAATGTTCCTGCAGCAAAGACGGTGCAAACAATCAGGGAATCAAGTATCATAATAAAAATAAACCAAAGTATACATCACTCCTAGTGCTAAAAAATAACATTATTGCACATATCAGTGGTATTGCACGGTTTTTGGATGAATAGAAATACTGATGTTATTGCATAGATTGTCTATATTGCACTGATTGTACATGAGTAGAAAGACTAAGGAAATGTCATGTATTCTAGTGTATGTATAAATATAGATATTGCACAGGGTTTTTAAAATGCAAAATAGTTATAATTCACATGATATTGTACCAAAGAGATGTATGACAGGTATGTCTGCATGAAGCCATTAAGAACCTTAATAATAAAAGGGGCCTAAGTCTGAATGACAGAATGCCATCGCCTAACATATTGATGAAGCAGCAGTGCATGTTGGAAAAGGACTGATGACAGTTACCTTGATAATACAACTAAATAATGACCAAATCAGAAAAACCTCAAAAACATCACACACAATTCTGAGATTGTTATTAAACCCTTCTTCTCTTTTCTCTTCAGGCTGCTTCATGTCCGCAATGGAAATTGTAAGTATCACTTGGGGGAGGAGACCTTCAAGCTTGCTCAGTCTTACATGGACAAACTAGCCAAACATGGCCACCAGGCCAACAAGGCAGCGCTGTATGGTGAGCTTTGTGCCTTGCTCTTCGCCAAAAGCCACTATGATGAGGTAAGAATGTTTAACCACTGATTGATGTTTTGTTTGTCTTAAAGTACTGCGATGGTGCTGAATAATGTGTAACTCCTGTTTTGTCTTTGCGTTTTCCTTATGTCCCAGGCGTACAGGTGGTGTATAGAGGCTATGAAGGAAATTACTCCTGGGCTGCCTGTCAAAGTAGTAGTTGATGTCCTCAGACAAGCATCCAAGGTAACAATTAGATCAGTTGAAAGATTAAGAAAATTTCCCTGAGTTGGAAATCTGTTCATATTTAGACGCTCGGATACAAATTCAGACATGACTGTGTAAAGTTTGACTTGTGTCTTCACTGCAGGCCTGTGTGGTAAAGAGGGAGTTCAGAAAAGCAGAGCAGCTGATCAAACATGCAGTGTTTCTCGCAAGGTAACCTGCTGTGTCTTATAGGGACTGCACATTATTCTTATTCCTTTTGTTGTCAGGGATTCTGATTGAGTGTTTTGTCTTTTACAGAGAACATTTTGGACACAAGCATCCCAAGTACTCCGACACGCTGCTAGATTATGGATTTTACTTATTAAACGTAGACAACATATGCCAATCAGTTGCTATTTACCAGGTAAGTAGAGTGATCGGCAACCAAAGTGTGTCCATGTTTTATATATCCTTGTTTTTATAAAGTTTCTCTAATTGAATCCGTTTTCGGTGTACAAATCTCAGACCGCCCTGGACATTCGACAGTCTGTGTTTGGGGGAAAGAACATCCATGTTGCCACAGCCCATGAAGACCTGGCCTATTCTTCATACGTGCACCAGTACAGCTCTGGGAAATTTGACAACGCTCTGTGAGTACAATAAATCTTGCAAAGTCAGGACTATTCCTAGATCAGTCAGGTAATTACATTCAACACGAGCTTCCTTGTAAGTGAAGCACAAGACTATGAGTCATACTGGGTTACTGCTGTCACTCTATGTCCTGCTGTTTATGTGATATGGATGCATGCTTAATGGCGTGTGCCATTGCATATAAAAAATATATATATATATAATTTTACACAGTGCCAAATTTATAGATTGGAAGGAGCTGAGTGGGAGATGTTTTTTCTATGTAATTAATCTTGTTATTCTCCCCGGGTGTACAAAGACAGTGATTCAGTATCGGGTAATTATGTGACCTCTGTGACTCAGATTTACTTTTGCACTGTATGAGCTTCAAAACAACTTTCTTCAAGGGAAAAAGCTTGATTTTCTTGGAAGTGTTTTTCCTGAATTAAACAGAGCTTCTAGCCAAGTTTCAGTTGCGTGATATGTTTTGGTCAGCTGCTGTGTTTTCCCCACAGATTCCATGCAGAACGTGCCATAGACATCATAACTCACATTCTGCCTGAGGACCATCTTCTGTTGGCTTCCTCTAAGAGAGTCAAAGGTAAAGCAGATTTCTCGGAGATGCTGGGCTGCTGCCCACTGTGTGACGAGCACAGTATCATGAACACAATCCATCTTCAAAACAACAATCATTTCCCCTTGTGCCTAATATGTATATACATGTTGCAGACATTTTCAACCGTTCAGATTCCAATCTTGGAGAAAGGGCACACAAATCCAAGGAAACATTTACACAAATGATAAAGCCGAGTTACTGTGATGAAACGTCAGGCTCCGAAGCAGAATCCATGAATTAGCCACTGTTTCATCGCTGACTGTGCAGTGCAATAAAATAACTGACACATGCTGGCAAATAGTGTTTGTGTTTTATCAAATACTGTCACATTTGTTTTCTATATTCCTGAAATTCAATTCAGTCAGAGGCTTCAGATTACTTAAACCATTTAAACATCAACAACAATTAGTAAACTTTTTTTTTTTTCTTAAAGAGAAAAGATAATGCGGTGTTCATACTGAGTAATTATCCATCCTGTTTTGTTGTGGTGATGAGTTTAGTTTCGCTTTTCTGCTAGTGGTGCTACATTATGTTGCTTCTGTAGGTCTAGTCTGATTCACCAGACTGCAGATCTAAGCCTGCTATTGGCTGCATGTTTCACCCAAGACTCTTTCGCTTTCATTGTCTGCATCCTGCTGCTTTTATAATCTCCTCTATGGGAAACAAGAGCGTGAACCTCCAAGCAGCAACCTACACGCTGAGAATGGCAGGTTTTGACAAAGATTCGGATTGTTTCATAAAGCAGCCCTATTTGTTTTTTTTGTTTAGTTTTTTTTTTTTTGCTGAATGATTCTAAAGATCTACAAAGACTATGTTCACAGCATTTGCAACAAGGACCTTTTTTATGTTTGCCTGTCATTTATGAAAATCTAATTCAAAGTTCCTCCCCAAATAGCATTTTGCATTTTTACTGTAGTTGCCTTCTGGGCTGGCTACACAAGATGATTATGAAATACAAACAATCCAGTGTGTTCCGTGATAGCAGTATGATGGTGGGTGCAGTCAGACGAGGATGGGAAATTAGCACCAACTAGGTTCTGGTCAAATGTGAAAGTGACTGGTAGATTTCAGGCACATTCTATTGATTCCTCTTGAGTGGCTTTTGATTTTAAACATTCATCCGTCAGTAGCTGGAACATGTTCACATTTAAAAAGTTAATTGTTCTACCTTGAGCCAGACCATTCTCCAGTGCTGACACAGCGTAGTGGCGATAGACCTGGCTATGCACAATTACTTTCAGTCTAACATGTGTCCTTTGTTCCCACAAGCACTAATCCTGGAGGAAATCGCCATTGACTGCCACAATAAAGAGACAGAAGAGCGTCTCCTGCAGGAGGCCCATGACCTGCACCTCTCCTCACTGCAACTGGCCAAGAAGGCCTTTGGGGAGTTCAACGTCCAGACAGCAAAACATTACGGCAACCTAGGACGACTCTACCAGTCCATGAGGAAGTTTAAGGTGAGTTGAGACATCTCTTTTTTTGTTTGTTTTTGAATGATCCCTAGTCTGGTGTACATGCAGAGAAGGATCCATTCAAATGTTGTTTTTTTTGCGCTGGGATGGAGAGGGTCGGTTATCAGTAATGAACACTTGAACAATATTTCCTCTCCCTCTTCCCTCTTGAGTTGACAACTTTGCAGTGTAACTAAATGGGAAAGTCTCTGTTAGAGCTGTTGATAAAACACACATCGACGTCGTACTGTTCTCGAGCACTTAAGCTGGTCATTGTGGTTCTGCTTTTAAAACAGAACCCAGTGCTATAGTCTTTTTGGGTCTTATTAGATTATCAGGCTGCACCTGATCCTAAGAAGTTAAATCCAACTGAGAAACAAAATGACTTGACCAGAGACCTACCGAAAAATAATAATATGTTAAACCTAACCGACTGAATTTTGGTCCCTATTTAATGCTAAAAATATTTGAGATATGTGATGTTGAATGTTCTTTTTGCGTTCTGTGGAACACAAAAACTGGTATTTGTGGTGCTTAAGGTCCCATTGAAATGACTGCTGTATAAAGTGTACAACAAGATTACTTAAACGTTTAATGATTCAGATTTGCATAACCTTACAGCCACTGCATTACTTCTACATTGAGCAGTACAATATTTTCTGTTATGTGAAATTATGAACAGTTTAGATATACTATATGAAACATACAGACACCCAGAATAAGAACTGTGCTCCTCAGCATGGAGGATACGAGTGTTGCACAAATTTCTGGAGAGATGTTCTGCTATTCTTCAGAGGCTACTTTTTCAGCAGTTGCAGTTGTGTTGCTCTGCCTTTCTCTGTAAACTTCCCTGAAGGTGTTCTGTTGCATTCAAGTCAGGTGACATACATAGCCAGGTCATAGTTTTCACTTTGTTCTTCTTTAGAAACTGTTTTGTGATTTTGGCAGCGTGCTTTGGATCTTTATCATGATGAAGTAGTCCTCTTCTGTCAAGCTTCTGCAGGCTGAAAGTCATCTTGTCAGCTAGTATTCTGGTATATCCATGGTTCCATCTATAAATGTCATTTCCCCAACACCTCTTGCACCTGTGCAGCCCCATATCATCACAGCCTGTGCTTCAGTGTTGATCAGCTGGACCCCATCTGTGCTGACCAAATTTCTCTTGGTCTCATCTGACCAAAGAATTTACTCCCAGTATTCATTAGGGTTCTTTTCATGTTTCATCGCAAAGTTGAGTCTTGAGTCTAGAAGAGCAAGCAAGGGTTTTTTTGTGAATGCTGTCCTTAGAGGTTGACGATTTGCACAATTCTTCGAAGTGTCTGAGCTGCCCCAGAAATGCAGATTTCCACTGAAAACCCTTGTGCCAAGTCTGAAGTGTGTGCCAGAGGTAGATTGTACAAATAGTGCACTGTCCGTAGCGTCATTTTAGAAGGATTAGTGATGCTATGGCTGGATCTGTACCTCCTGATTTCTGCTGCAATTGTGATTGGACTCATTTTAAGTTGGTCACCGATCTTCCTGTGTCCTTTTTCATTTTTGCGAAGTCTCATGATCAGATAATCTCATTTTCTGTAGAGCAGTGTACTCACTCCTGTTGTGTACTGTATGTAAGATGCTGTATTTCATTCATTTGCTTAATAAAAAGGTCGAGTGGAGATGAAATGTTAGACTCTCTGTAGTCCTATAGTGATGTAATGTAGGCTGAAATGATTACAGACAAGAATTTCAGATCTTAAAGTTAACAGGGGACCAATGTGGCACTGCTTTAAATCCCACAAAAGTATGCAATATTAATCTCTAGATTATCGAAAAATAGCAAGAGAAATGATTGTTGTAAAGCGTGGAAACCTAACAAGCATTGTAACTCTGTTTGTCATGGCATAATGTCACAAGTCTACTTTACCCCAGTTACGACATTTACAGGCATTTACCCAAAACTCTGTTCCTTCCGTGGAACAGGAGCACAATGTTTTTTTTATTTATTGGCAAAGGGCAAGAAACAGAATGTAAAAATGTACTTGGTATTTTAAGTTTATCCCTTAATCTGTTTATCTGTCTTTGTGTAACTGTGTATCCAGGAGGCAGAGGAAATGCACATCAAAGCCATCCAGATCAAGGAGCAGCTACTGGGCCATGAGGACTATGAGGTGGCTCTGTCTGTGGGTCACCTGGCCTCTCTCTACAACTACGACATGAACCAGTACGAAGACGCAGAGAGGCTCTACCTGCGCTCCATCGCTATTGGTCAGTGGGAGGATAACATCAGTAGAGGCCTGTTTTGAAATGTTTCACTGTAAATGAACATATGCAGCACCCAAGACCTGTGTCATGCAACAGGTTCAGCTCGGTCAGGGTTGATTTTGGTTACGAGGCTTCACTGAGCCGACTAATGAGCATCACAAAGCAGGTTTTAAGTGTTCTGATTTGCTCTGGGTATATTAACAAAGTTCAGCGTGTTCACATAAGGGCGGCTGTGGCTCAGGTGGTTGAGCGGTTGTCCTCTAATCATAAGGTTGGTGGTTCCATCTCCTGCCCCTCCACAGTTGAAGTGTCCTTGGGCAAGACACTGAACCTGAAGTTGCTCCCAATAGCAGGCAGCACCTTGCATGGCAGCTCTGTCGCCATTGGTGTATGAATGTGTGTGTGAATGGATGAATGACAAACACATTGTAAAGTGCTTTGAGTGCCGCTAAGGTAGAAAAGCGCCATAGAAGTGCAGTCCATTGACCATTTATGTAAGGGAGTCTTTTAATTACAAGCCAGTCACATGCAAAATCACTAGATCTTGAATGTGCCACCAGGGGGGCAATTGAATTATTGCAGCAGGAGAAGGTATATATTATCATTTGTGATTTTGCTACTGGGTGGTATCTATGAGCATATTTATTTCTAATTAAAAGGATTATGGAGTCACTGTATACTTAATTAGAATTCTCACAGCGTTAACTAGACAAATATTTGATGTAGAAAAGTTACGTCATTTTATCTGAGTTGCAGTGGTAGAAAAGCAATGACAAAGATATCTGCTGTGAAGCAATCTCTGTCTGGTGATGAAAGACATTCAGTACAAATAATATGGAAGTACAAATGTCAGTTATTAAGATGGTAGTATGGTCAATTGTAGCAGCGGTCCTTGACCACCGGGCCGTGGGTCATTTGGTACCGGGCCGCACAGAAAGGAAAAAAAAAAGTTTTATTCTTTTATTGTTTATTTCCAGCGCAGTCTACAGGGTGTTTAATTTTAAAAAAGTACTCGATCATTTCCCCGTCACTTCCGACTGTGCTTGTCTCCCGCAACTTGACTGTCAGTTTTCATGCTCGGCTGTTAAACGAAGCCGTCAGTCTAACCGCTGCTGAAATGTATAAAAAAAAAAAAACGCCCCGGAAAACCTCCTTGGAAAAGGGGAAAAAACCAAGGCCGAAAAAAAACAAAAAAGAAAAAAAAAATTAACAAAGAAATTTTATTCATTTGTGAAACTTTTTAACAGAAAAAATACAGTTTTTTGTTATGTGTGCAATGACCGGTCCGTAAAAATTTCTTGCGTAAAACCGGTCCATAGTGCAAAAAAGGTTGGGGACCGCTGAATTATAGTATGTTAGAAAACCTAATCATTTGAATGGGTATCATGGAAGTATAGTAAGTTTGCACGATTATCACAGTTATCAAAGTGATTGTGTTTTTGTGAACTTCTGGTGCTTTGCTTTGTATGTGGGCTCGTTACATGATTAGCCATCCAGTGAAGTTACCATAGTAATTACCGTGGCTGGAAGTGACCTGACTTCTTGATACCTGAAAGCCTGGGTAAAGCCCAAAGATAACCGACCAGCCCTCCAATTTGACGTAACACAGCCCTGCGATCACTCCTGTGGCTCATGGATTCCAGGAAAATGCTGTTTTTGTTGTGTGCTTCCAGCCGTGCTGCTCCACAAGTGAACCCAGCTCTGAGCCAAAGCTGGCAGCTGAGTCCGACTGGTTTGATGTGATTCTCTATCTCATTGATACAATCCTCTAGTGCTTAAAACCTGTCCGAGCCTTGATGGTATCCAGTATCGTTAGCCTCCAGTAGACTAATTAGCTTGTAATTAACCCTCTGAACCTGAAGCAGTTTCTGGGTGGGTTTTGCTCCTCTTACAGTTTTATTCGCTGGGAACTAATTTTTCACTACAATCTAAAGTTCTGAACTTCCTGCTATAAGTAAAGGGAACTATAAAATGTCTATGTGGAGTATGTTACCGCTATAACTCATTACCAGTTACATTGCTTTGTTGTGTTTACAAAAATGGCAAAGTGGAATCAGCATGTACAACATTTTTTTCCCCCAAATGCTTGTATGAAAAGAACAGAAGCTCCATTTGCAATACAGATTTTATTGCTTATGTTTTACATCCTCAAATTAGATGTTTTTTCACACTGCTATTCACATCATCTCAAGAAAGATATTCTCATGCTGAATTTACCTTCAAACAGTTTACTGACGGCTCGCTCCTTTGTTTACCATTTTTGAGCTATGCTTTATTTAATTCATTGATCGGGTTTGTTATATTTTCCTCTCCGTTTCTTGTCATCTCCTCTGTGCTCTGTGTAAACTGCCTGCAGTTCACCTGAGTCCTTGAATTTACTTTAAAAGAGACACACTGAATGAAGTGATTAGAGAGATCACAATTTTAAGCTTAGATTTTGTACATTTTTCTGACAGAAACACACATTACGTATGATGCGTTCAAGGACCACAGACTTTCTGTTCAGAATCTGTAAGCAGGCAGGTTTTAGGTTCCTCTAACACCTTTGAAATAGTGGAAAATGTCCAAAGATATTATGTAGAGAGTCCAAAATCCAAAGATGTTCTTTTACCACAATGTAAAACAGTAATAAGAAGGTAATTACCACATTTTACTTAAGTCAATTGATTAATTCCCCTGTAATGATTACCAACATGTTGTCTGATGTTTCTGTCCTCACAGGTAAGAAGCTGTTTGGAGAAGGTTACAGTGGACTGGAGTACGACTACCGAGGCCTGATCAAACTCTACAACTCAGTGGGGAACTATGAGAAGGTGTTTGAATACCACAACGTACTGTCCAACTGGAACCGGCTGAGGGACCGGCAGTTTGCTGTGGCAGACGCCCTGGAGGATGTCAACACTACACCCCAGCAGACCCAGGAGGTGGTACAAGCTTTCCTATTGGCTCAGAGCCTAGGCCCCACCCGCCCCTGTCTCGGCTGATTTTATGAGGGAAGAGAGAGAGGGGGGGAAAAAATAAAAAAAGACACGTGGGTTTTTAGCCTGGTGAGGACATAAAATAAGCCTAAACGTGATGCTTCAGTTGCACACAATTAGTAATACACATGAAATTCAAGCATCACCGGCGGGTCAGTTGGCTTTACGGTCACTGCAGCTGCCAGTACACACACACAGACATGCACACACATGTAGTCGTGAAAGAAAAAATTTTAAAAAATAGAGAAAACACTGTTATCAAACCTCATCAACACACTCACACACATACCCACAATGCAGCTCTATTCAGCAAACTGCTGCATTTCTCCAAGAGAAAGAGGACACACGACTGAGGGGAGGGTGGGGATTAAAAAAGAAAAACCTCAAACATCCTGCAAGGATGACAAATGACCTCTCCTCTTCTCTTGTTTCACTCGCCTTCTTCTTCTCAGTTGGGAATCAGAGGACATTTTTGCTTTTGTATTTGAACCAGTGTAGCTCTGAACGCCATGAGACTCACCACAGACCGAAACCATGTTCTCCAGGGCTATGTACATGACAGTGTCCGGACCCCCCACACTCATCTGTGAAATACAGCCCACATCCATCAGCATAATCACTCGGCGGATCACAGATGAAAATAGTTGGATATTTTTGACACTTGTACAGTAAAATAATACAGATTGTACACTTAAGTTTCAGTTGAAGGCTTCTTGTTTTTTTGTTTTTCTTGCAAAGAAGTGAAAGTGGACCCTAAGAAGACTTCATTAAACTCCTGTTTTGAACTGCTTGGTGGAGAGAGATTACAAACAGTGGAATGTGTTGAACCAGTGGGTATGTTGTTACACACATAACAGGCTTCACGGGTCTTGTTTTCAATTTATTTTATCTCTCTTTTTTTTTTTTTTTTCCAGCTTAGTACTGACATAGCATAATTAAAATGCCAATAATTTATATGCAAAAGTGTATGTTTATGTAGCCCTTTTGTTATGCTTTCTTATTGAGTGAGCCATGAATCCTGAAGAAGCAAATCAACACTATAACAACAAGGGACGTGGAAAGGAGTGCATAGAGGAAGATGCTACTTGTACAAAGGCTTGGAAGCCTCCCCTTTATTTCTTAATGATGAGGCTTCATGTATGAGTGTGTGTGTGTGTGTGTGTGTCAGTATACACAGATAGAACTCTGGGTGCCCAAGTGCTCCACTGATGACTACCAGCCTTACACCAGCTTGCAGTTATCTGTCTGTAGACGGACCCATACTTTTAAGTGCTAAATAAACTATTATACCCTTAAGGGCACTGCAATGGGGACCAATATTGTGTGTGTGTGTGTGTGTGTGTGTGCGTGTGTGTCTCCAGCCTTTCTATTTGTACATCTGGCCTTTCCTCTCCACTCCCTCCTGTCAGAAATCCCATTGAAGTCCTAGGTTTTTTTTTTGTTTTTTCCTATAGTTGAACCATCAGTGTTTCTGTCCAAGGTCTCATCTGTCATTTCACTAAAGCCTCAGGCTCAACCGTCTTGCTGTCAAGGTGCTGGTGCTCGCTCACAAAGGACCAATGAGGAGTAGAAAAACCTGGAAACAGCCAATAATGTATTCTTTTAAAAATTTGAATGTTGCGATGCTTTGTAATGGCTCATGTCAGTGAAAGTGACCTGAAGCCAAACCTTTCCTACATTATACAGGTTTACATGCAGAGCTACTGGAGGATGTGGACGCTCATATTACAAGAAAAAAAAAACCTAAACCACTCCTCACTTACCTCCCTGCAACATAGGCCTGTGACAAAAAGTTGGTTAAAACATTTAGAATTTTATTTAATTGAAATGTAGAAAACAGCCTCGTACAGGGACCCTGTACATTTTAGTACATGATTGTGGTCAAGATAAGAACTTGACAGTTTACAGCTTGTTAGCGCTCTCTGGTGGACACATGATGTATCTGGAAACTGTTTCTAAATGACCTAAAATAGGTTTTTGGCATTTCTGACTGACGTTTTACGTGTTTTACGGGCCAATCTAAACACAGATTAATGCATATCTGTGGTATCTGTGATCCCATAGAGCATTTTTTTCACTCTTAAGATGTATCCTTAGAATATTTTTAGTCATAAAACTACACAGTATTTCAAGGAATAAGTACAAAAGTGTGTAGTTTGAGTTTTATTCTTATTTCCTATCAGGGTGATCATCCCAGGTTCCCCTTTGAGGGTCCTGAACCACTGATTGTGCTATTGGTATCTGTCCCAGCAGTACTTTGGATTTAATCTTTTCAAGCTCCACTGGAACATACAAGTAGTCCACTTTTTTGTTTTTTTACACCATTAGAAGTGACAAATAGACCTTCCTGTGATTTGGGTGAGCTGACACTTTTGGTCCAGTGTGGCTGTGGATAAACAAAGACAGGCATGACGTCTGTGCTGGCGTAGCGAAATCACCGATGAGATTTTGTACAACGCAGTCTGGGCTGTAGGCATTAATATGTGCAACATTACTGATGATGTGATGCCTTGGATAAAAAAAAAAAACCCACTGTTTCTTACTTTCTGTTTGTTTCTAAATGAATGAAGAAAACGAGCTTTGCCTTGCTGTTGCTTCAGTGCTGTCGGACGTCTCCCTCTCTAGCAGTGATGTGACTGGCTCTAGCTGAGGAGGTCCAGCCTTAGCCCCCTCCCCACAACTTCCCCCCTAAAAAAAGAAAAAAAGAAAAAAAAAGGACGCTCAGCTACACTGTCAACACAAACACACCCTTCCTCTGGAGCAGATGTGTTATCTGCAGACTGTATTTGCAAGCAGTTGTATACAAAGATAAAATAAGGGAGAGTATGTTACTGTTCTGAAACACGCATATCTCCTTCCTTGTCCTAAACGGTAAAACATTTCATTGGTTAAATCTCTCCTGACATGCTCCTCCACTGACTGGTTTTAGTCAGAGGTGACATACTGACTTGTTAAATGACACTGTGGACTGTTAGGGCTGCTGTTTCCAAACCACTGGCGAACAATGTCTGCATCTCCTGCAATGGTTTTTTTTTGTCTGTACCATCTGTGAAAGTTCTGAAAAAGAAAAGAAAAAAAAAAAACCCCCAAAGGGAAACAAGTTCCGGCAAACTCAACAACCAATACCTTTTTTTTTTTTTTTAATGTTTGGCTGAGACAAAAAGAAGTGTTTTCCTGGTAACAGTAGCCCCGAGTGTAGGAGGTGAGCGCCTCCTGGTGGAGATCTCCTGATATGTGAAAGGGAATAAGTGTAGTTGCAGTGCTGGAGGGGGGCAAGACTGGACAAAGTTACAGATGCTCAATAAAGCTGTGATCTCTCCATTGGCCCTGCTTCGCTCTAAACAGTTTGGATGAGAAGATGGACACCAAATGCGACGAGGGGATGTTTTCACTGTTGTCCTGTTACTGCTTCACTGTTAGCTGCAAAAACATTAAAACGTATATCATTGACCACCATGCATACTTCCTCTTTGTGTCCATATTAGACGTGAAGATCGACGTCACAGTGACAATAAGACATGTCAGAAAATGCAGTAAACATTCAGGAGCAGCGTTACAGCGACGATACTGCGTATTAAATGGATTTCGTATTGAATCCCACTCAAGTTTCCTTCCTTTAAAAGTGGATCTTTGGTTTAGTGCAGGTTACTTAATGGTATACTGTGTACAAAATGAAGTTTAAAAGAAGTAAAACAGCACAAAGTGTGTGTGAATAAAATAAATGCATGCTGCAAAAATTAAAAATGCAATCTTTACAACAATCACATGTATGTGGAAAGTAAGCAAGCAGTGTATTTTACTCAATAGTTCAACTTTTTGTCTGATTTCTCTGACAGCTGGAGCCACTTTACCTTTTTCATGCTAAACACATTTAGCTGTGTATAAATTATGAAGCTTTTTTTAAATGGATTAAACTGCTATAGATCACAAATTGATTTACAGGAAATAATTGGTGGCTATTTTATGAATGATTTACATCAGTCTTCTCTGTGTAAAAATGCTGAACATTTTTTTTCCCTCATCTTTCTTAAATGTTTCGAGAAGATTTGCTATTTGACCTTTATAACAATTGTAGTAATTTTCTGTTTAATCTATTGATTAATTAAACTGAATAAGTGAGGTGACAAATGAAAATAATCATTAGATGAAAACAAGTTTAAAATGATCTCCACCCTCATCACCTCAGTAACGTACTTATTTGTCGTGGAGTGTGTTGACAGTGTGACATTCGTAAATTTGCTTAACTGAATGATCTACTGATCTGCAGTCCGGTTAGAAGTAGCAGCGACCACTATTACTACTACTAATAATAATATTATCTCTCTTTATAGAGTGTCTAAAACAAGGTTTCAAGCTGCTGCACAAAGCAGAAATTAATACACGGTGCTAAAACCAAGCAAACCAAATATAGAAAAGAACAAAAAGGAAATAACCACACACCAAACAACAAATACAAACAACAACAAACAATTAAGAGCAGGCTGCATGATCAAAGAAACGTGTCATTGATTTTTTAAAAGAATTAAAGAAGACACGTTTCTAGTCTGAGGTCCTCTCTTAGGAATGCAGTAAAAGCCATTAAACTACATCATGTCCGTCCATCCATTATCTATACACCGCTTAATCCCCACTAGGGTCACGGGGGGGCTGGAGCCTATCCCAGCTGACTTAGGGCGAAGGACACCCTGGACAGGTCACCAGTCTATCACACTTAGAGACAGACAACCAAGCACACTCACATTCACACCTACAGACAATTTAGAATCACCAATTAACCTCAACATGTTTATGGACCTTGTAGGAGGAAGCAAGAGAACCCAGAGAGAACCCACGCTGCACGGGGAGAATATGCAAACTCCACACAGAAAGATCCTAGTGCCCCACCGGGATGCGAACTGGCGACTTTCTTGCAGCCGCGGTCCATCAATAACAAAGTCAAAATCTTTAAAATTATTTGGTGCCTAATCAGCAAAAGACAAATATGTATGAAGGTGTAGAAATAAAATAAGAAATGCTTAGCCTAAGTGTAGCTCCCCGTTCCTCTGGACTTCATCACCACAAGCATTTATAAACATATCAAATAATCACGTTACGTCACTTTATTGTACAAATCTGTTCAAACTAGTAACTGTATCAGAAACAGAATGCACCGAAAGCAAAAACCAGCCTTTTTCAGACATAGAAATAAAATAGATAAATATAAAAATAGATTTCAAAGGCAGTTATATTACCAAATCCACTGAAGCATTTCCTATCAATGACACAGTAAACACGATTGCCATCACATGAAAGTCATGTTACTAAACCCCTGATGCGCAGCCTTGTTTTGGCAGTAAAGCTCTATTTTTCATTTATTAGCTTAATTTTTAAAGATTGATATGCTTCTTAAGCAGTCAGCTTTTGCTCAATATGTACCCATATGCAACAATACAGTAAGTGCAGCGCAATAAAACAAGCATTGAACCAGTTTTGCTGAAGTACATTCAGCTTTTCCCGCCCTTTGTAGATGCCGAGGCTTTTTAAACTGGATTTGTGCACAGCATTGGTAAAGCTCTATCTACTGTACGTGCACAACCACGCTTTCCCTTTGGGCTTTTCGCAGTACATTACAGCAATCAGAATGTTTTTAGTGCAACCATTTCAAGGCCTGCTGACATTCCACAGGCTTACATTTAAGAGTAACAGTTCCCTATAAATAAAAATAATAACCCACATCCTCACAGTAACAGGGGTATGATGAGCCTTGTATCTCAGCAGCCGCCCACAAAATTAAGAAAGTAAAAAGAAAGTCTTTCAGTTCTTTTTCTCTTCCATCTCATCACTGGTGAGGTATTCAATGTGAGTCCATATGCACCACGCCTGCACAGAGAAACATGGAGACACATTTGTGAGTCGCAGCAGTGCAACATGTTTCTGACTATCACAGGTTACAGGCTGTTAACGTCCACAGCACCTCAGCAGCCAGAGCCAGCAGGCGGCCTGCAGCCAGCAGCAGCGTCCCCGCAGCCTGGATCCACAGAGGCAGGTCCAGCCAGTGGGACAGTAGACCCCACTGATGGGCATAGAGCCACACGGGGAGGCAGTGCAGCCCGCTCACCACCCACACGCCCAGAGGAGTCCGAAACCCTGCCGGCACACATGTTTAAGTGGAGCTGTACAACACATTAGACACATCAGCTTAAACGCAGAAGCACACTTGTCACCGTTTGCCATGATGGCCTGAATGAGGCGAGGGCTGCTGCTGAAGCTCTTCTTCCACTGATCACCTCTGGTGTTGTGGTTACACACAAACACACACCACTCCAGCGCACACACCAGAAAACCCCACTGCAATGCAAACAGGACAGCAGATAGGACACTATTAATACTGCTGTTACTGCATCACAAATGTAAAAAAAAAAAAAAAGAAATGTACTCCTGCACTATAACAGAATTATGCATTTCTTAAACCTCACATGACTGCAAAAATATTGTCCAGATCAAATACTACAAAAATGTTGTTGCTGCCATATTGAGCGCTTCTCCTTTCAAAAAATACATCGCATGCATCCATCCATCCATCATCTATACACCGCTTAATCCTCACTAGGGTCGTGGGGGGGCTGGAGTCTATCCCAGCTGACTCAGGGTGAAGGCAGGGGACACCCTGGACAGGTCACCAGTCTATCACAGGGCTACACTTAGAGACAGACAACCAAGCACACTCACATTCACACCTACGGACAATTTAGAATCACCAATTAACCTCAACATGTTTTTGGACTGTGTGGGAGGAAGCCGGAGAGAACCCACGCTGCACGGGGAGAACAAGCAGAAACCACCGGGACGCGAACCGGCAACCTTCTTGCTGCGAGGCAACAGTGCCACCAACTGCGCCACCCTGCAGCCCAATCGCATGCATTGTTTTAGATAATTTCACAAAAATAATTTATTCCCACAATGCTCTATTACCATATGACCTTTATCCATGGACAACTTAAAGCTAAAGAACAAGCTGAAGGCACCACATTTGTCATGGTTCCCTCTGGGATCAAGTTAGACTTTTGTTTCTGTCATCTTCCTGTTTCTGTTGGACGCTTTTATTTTGTTGTCTCGTTTTCATGGAATGTTAGCCAGCTCTACTTCCTGTTGTCTTGATGTTACCTCTGCCCTAACTGTGTCCACCTGTTCCCCATTACCTCATGTATGCATTGAATGTTTAAGGCAGGGGTGCCCAATCCTGGTCCTCGAGAGCCCCTATCCAGCATGTTTTAGATGGTTCCCTCGTCCAACACACCTGATTCAAATGATCAGCTCATCATCAAGCTCTGCAGAAGCCAGACAATGATTCTGATCATGTGAATCAGGTGTGTTGGAAGAGGGAAGCATCTAAAACATGCTGGATAGGGGCTCTCGAGGACCAGGATTGGGCACCCCTGGTTTAAGGTCTCCCTTTGTCCTGTGCCAGTGTGTCATGTTCACGTACCGTCCCTGTGCCGTCTTGTTCGTTCACTGTCCCACGCTCAGTGATTCTGAAATCTTGTTTCTTTAT